AGCGTAGGTATAACTATATCAGAGGGTATTTCGTCAGTCAAGTATAAGTTTATTAAAGTAGTGGCTAAAGCCTAAATACATTGAAAACAGTGGCTTTAAAATAAAAGCAGCTGCTTTTAGTGGCTATTTGTGCACTTCGCCCCCCATCTTTGCACAAGTACACTTTGGGCTCGGTTGGACAATAACCCATTAATTAACCTAAAGCATTTGACTCGCTCAGATTCAACCCAACCCGCTCATTGCCACCCCTATCCATGTCCCAGGCTCGCGATGGTTCATGTTTCCTAATCCCCTTTGCAATGAAGTTCTGATGCTAATTGGTCCTATTTCTATCTCCGTGTTCTCATTATAAATCGAACTCATGAAACTTATGGTGCACTACACGAATTGTTTATTCCAATTAATCCTTGTCGCTTTATCTGTCAAAGGGCATGCAAATTATCTTACGCCAAGCAAGAAGATTTGGTCACTTTTTTTTTTACTATTACCTGCCAATTGAAAATCAAAACCTTGCCGCATGTTTGTTGTCCACAGCCTTGAATGGGGAGAAAAACATACACACCATGAAGCATAAACTAGCTAATATCTCTGTTTTAAAAGGCAGAAATGGAACTCGCCCGGGGCCCGCCCCGGGGCGGAGCACTCGTAAAACGCCCCTGGACTTATGTGTGAGGCTTAGTTCCGTGAGACTTACGCCCCGACCATCGGGGCTTACGCCCTGGACACGCCCGACGCCCAGCGTACTGGGCTCGCCTAATAGAACTTTATGCAATTGTATGTAACTAACCTTGTAAATCCTCAAATTTTCTTAATAAATCGTTGACTATTCAAAATTACTTTTTTCTTAATCATAAATCATTAAGTTGAGAGTATTTTATGTCATAATTAAAATAAAAATTATTGCACGTTATCCACTAAGACTGCTATGATAGTTAATTTTAAATAAATCTTTCATTTAAAAAGTATTTATTTATTAACTTTTGTTTGTCTTTACTATATAATAGCCCGTAATTTTTTCATAATTATTTTTTTAAATATTATTTTTTCACGTTTACGAGAAACAATACTTATTAATTTAATAGCTCAGTAAGCTAGTAACTATTTACAAATAATTAATTATCATGGTATTGTATGGTGAATTATGTGTCACTTTATTAACTTGTTCAAACTTAAAAATAAATAATGCCAGAGAATCATATTTAAATTGTGAATTATGTTTTTATATAAATTCTCTTTCAAATAGAAAGCATATTAAATTAAAGGAGTATTTTAAGAAAAATATCAAATTATAATATCGAAACTCTTTCAAGATTTATTACTCCTTAATTAAGAGATACATATAAGATTTTGTATCAAATACATTACTTTTGATGTTTGAGTTGTAACAACATTGCAGCCAATTTGCGATATATGTCATACTTTTTATATTATTCATAGTTGAATTATAAATTATAAATATTTTAAATAGATTATCTATTATAATTTCATGATTTTAATGTAATTTTTATAATTATTTTTTATGTTATACTATCTTAAAATTCTTGAAATTAGTAAAATTTAAATATCCATGGGACTTACGCCCCATGTCTAAGGGCTTACGCCTCGCCTCGTTTGAAGTAAAACGCCTCGCCTCACGCCCCCGCCTTTTAAGACATTGGCTAATATTATATTTTTGTCATAGTCAGCAATTTATAGAAGTTGATCCGCGAAAATAAATGAAATACTCCTGTGTGAAATAAATTCCGCTGGTTTCACGTGCTTATACTTTTACACAGTTCAGGCAAAAGAACAAAAGTAATTCCAAATAATGCGATGACACAACATTATACTAACTCACACGGAGCATCCCTAATCCCTACATTCAAGTACAAGACCCTATAAAGTCGTAAGCAAGTAGCAGCAGGAGCAAAGCACTATGTGAAGATAACCTTGTGCTAGTGAGATTGCTCTCAGAGATCGGGAAATACAAAATACAAAAGTCTAAAAATAGCCAAGAATAAAGAGGCCTACCCCATACAGAAATTCGCAGTAAAGGTGAAATAAGATTTCAGCGATCGTCTTCTGTTGTTTTTTAAAATACAACCATACAACTGCCAGAGAATAGCAATAACTAAAACGAATTCTACAGAAAATCACTAAGGCCTTCAATTAAAACCCAAATAAAGAACACATCAGATATTATGTGAATGATGGCCTTCCGTGTCTTACGCTCAACTATGAGAGAATGTGAGCTGCACTTATAGTGTCCTTTTAAACATATTTTCTTTTGAAATGCATTTATATCGTCCTTTCATACGTAACAGACCAAATTGAACAAAAGGACAGATAACTCTGAAGGAAAGATTTACACAAAGATTGATCCTTGAACTCATGATTAGCATAACATGAAAAATATGATACAAATGCAAACTATCGCTATTGACCACAACGTGCTCGCTAACTAGAATTGATAGTCCCTATGCATGCGCTAACTTCGCCAAAAGTACCATGTCTAAAATTTTAACATCAAGAGTATCATCAACCTTTACAATCCCGTCAGTGCCATCAACACCAATAAGCTTACCAGTGGCACCACGTTGGGGACCACCCATGATCTTGATCTTATCCGACTTCTTTGGTACAACTATCTCAATTTCAGTTGGGTGTACAATGATAGTGTCACCATTGCCGCTCGATCCAAGACCAACACTACAGGAACCATCCTGCTCCAGCGGCAAGTTAAAGAATGTTGGATTAATTACCGCGCAAAAAGACAAATTATTCTCCTTCAAAAGGAGGTTTTAACTAAGGTTCGCAGCCAGAAGACCAAGAAGCAGAAGAAAAAACCTCTTGAAGTCTGATCAACGCAATCAGTCAATCACCTTCACAGGAATATGTATAACAAGTGCACAAGTATGTTGGTATGCCATGACATGTGTAGCCATTAACATACTTCTATATAAGCTAAAATAAACAGTCTGCTTAACTTTATTGGCTTGTATATATATAATACTGATGACGGAAGAAAATATAAAAAGAAATGGCTTTAAAAAAGACATCTCATGATCTCATCAAAGTTGAAGCGTGAACAGTTTAATGAATTTAAATGCTTGAAAGTTGTGAATATCGTATAGTAATAGAATGATATCAATCATTTTGATACGACTCGAGAGTGTAAGCAAATTGGAGCAGATGGTATATTACAAAGTTCAAGATCTAATCCAGCAAAATCAGAGATGATTAAAATTCATTCTTCTAGCATAAACATCGAACGAGCAATTAAAAGGTACGAATTCAAATACAAATATAAATTATAAGTTCGCCATTTTCACTACCACTGCCTAGGATACCTTGAATAAATATTTAATAATCACTTTCCAAATTAATATTTACACGTTGAATGCATCTGCTTGGGAAGTGGTTAAGAGGTTTCTATGCCCTTCCCAAAGATAACACCCTCTACATGTTAATATTTATCACATGCACACCCATGTCATAGTTTATGAAGCAAATGCCTTCTAAAGGGAAGCCAAATCATCATAGAATATACATACCGCTAGCACGTCATGGACAACTCCAGTGACAGTATCATCATTGGACTTCCGTACATTGACCAAGATATCAGGCAAGACCCAAGGACCTTCAGTATCCCCACCTGCAATTACAAAGTTGCCAACCATTGCTGAAAGTTGAAAACAGCATTATCTAACACTCTACTAGACGACAAGAGTGAAGTTGCATGAGTCTCAATCAAGGATAAGACAGGTTCTCCAACTAACCATCAAGCAAATCCAGTTACAATGATGTTATCATTTACATTTGGGGCCTCACATTTGACTATAGAGATACATCATCATTAATATCAGACATTTTCATGCAACTCTCTTCCTACCGTATAACAGGTAAAACACAAGCCAATAAAGTAAAAGTTTGTATACAACTATCCAAGAGAATCCAGATATATATATATATATATATATATATATATATATATATATATATATATATATCGAGGTGGCAGGTATACCATGGTTATATCTATAACCATGGTATCCGGGCCAGCTAGAGCGCAACTCGACTAATTCCACGGGATACCTGCCACCTCCCACCAGCAACAGGTACCAAGATAATCCACATATATTGAATTTACCAAACTATACACCCAAAGCTTAAATAATAAGATGCATTTGCAATAATGAACAGCATTAAGGTCATTCTCCTCTATGCCTAAGCTTCAAGCTGTAAATACACAACTGTCGGGACTTCTTTGTATTACCCACATTGTGATTTTGATTAATATTAGAGCAATTTTCACATTAACAATCAACAAATATCACTGTGAATATGCAAAAATTTAGCACATAAGCTAAAAGACAAATTTTCAATCTAATACTGCAACGGTCTACTACTGAAACACACTATAAATACCATCAAAAACATGGAAGACATCTACACGCTAAAACATTGAATTAAAATGCATGAACATGAATTACAACGCCCACTAGTTCATCCTTCGGTAAGTGGAAACGAGATCAGCTGATCTCAATAAAATGTTTTATTTTCCTAGAATGTAAGAGATTATGGGTAAAAATAACTAATTCTGCAGCGATCACAAGTTTACCAGCTCAATAGAATAAAATGTTTCTCATTTGATCTTTCATATTATAGTAATTTCTTTTTTGAATGAAGATATATTATAGTAATTTGTAATTCCAAAAGCTACACAAACTATGGTGTCGAGCAGGGAACTCACCTCCTACAGGTGACATCATATCCAGCCCACCACTTCCAGGAGTCATTGGCTGCCCGCCAGGAGTACCAGGTATATATGCTGAGCTCGGTGTCATTGGTGGTTGTCCACCAGGAGTTGACGGCAAGTAAGGACTTGGAGCATTAGCTATATGGAATAAAGGAAAATGGCATTACTTTCTCCAACAAGGACCTGAAAAAGACGATGTAATAGGTTTTCACTCCTGTAAACAGAAACTGTTCATTACCATATGCAGAACCATTGTCTCTTGGGGTCCCAGCATCACTGTAATTACCGCTGGGAGTGTTGGTCCAACCAGAACCAGGAGTAGGTGCTTCATAAGCCCTTGAACGAGGGCTAGATGGCTGAAACATGAAGGAAGTGTCATAATCACATTAAAAGAGAGAACTTTATTTTATATGGAAATAAAGTGGAAAGAATGAAAACCTGATATTGCGGACTTGACCCCCAGGAAGCAGGGTTTCCTTCTTCCCAATTTTCCCTGGTATTTTGCCATGCAACCATTTAATATCAAGAGAACGGAATTGTAACTCACTAAATCTATGACAGTAAAAGCAACAAACTGAAATAGCAAGACTAATCTAAAGGGAGAGCATGTCACTTAAAAGTGTAATCATGAACACAAATGAAGACCAAAAATCAGCACTCAAACTATCTAGCTAAGACAAAGGCTTTCAAGTTCAAGACCAAATCCGATCCTCACCCCTTTATATACAAAGAAAAGAATTTCAGCCATACAAAGAGGAGAAAGTCCCAAATCAAAGTACATGGACAGATCCCTATTTCCATAATGTCATACTTCAAGTAAAGAAAAAGCTCTTTTTCATTTCTTCAAACCTGAGATCAATTAGTTCATGTCAAGTAAGAACTAGACAGATACATGGCCTTCACTACTACAATTTTCAAAAGCTTAAGCCATTTGGATTGTTTCCACCAGTGATATAACATACCTAGGCGGACTCATTGGATTCCATGCTCTGTCACGCATTGGCGTCCTCATGCCATCATGGATAGGTGTTGCTGTAGAGGAAATTGATGAAAAGAGATAAAGTCAAACAAGTGAGAAAAAAAGAGATGAAAAACACCATTGAAACATGGCAGCAGAAAAATGGACCTCCAGGATCTCTCATAGGTGTCATAAATGGGTGGAGTGGAGTCCTTGAAGGATGTGATGGTGTTTCACTTCCCAAACCATATCTAGATGGTTCCCTATAATAAACAGAACAACAGTAAGACGGTGAACACTCAATAACTCAAAGTTTGCAATCGGAAATATATTTACCGGAATGGTGTTGTCACGTTAACATTATCCGCAATATGATTGCGATCAACTGCAGGAAACATTGCAGTCAGCAAAGAATGTAAGCAATCAAAACTTGGAAGAAAAAAATCGAAAAGGAAATTTCTGCCTAAATTTGGATGATTCTGTACAAAAAGGGTCCCTTGTTTATAATGAATCACTTTTGGTCCCCCACCCCCCACCCACCTCAAACCAAAAAAGGAAAAAATAAATGAGGGCAATTACTGACATTGAAAAAACACTTGCCTGTAACAACTTTCATCTGGGCTTCCAGTTCAACACGGACTGAAGTTCCTTTGATATCTTTAACACGCCCCTTACAACCTTTAAATGGCCCAAGACGAATTTTCACATCAGCTCCAATTAAAGCATCATGCCCTCTTCCACCTCTATGCCCTCTTCCATCTAGAGCACACCAAACATAAAAGTTCAGAGACTAATGATTAAATGGAGAACAGCAAAATAAAGATCACAAATGTAACAAATAGCATTTAATATAATAGCCAGATGATCAGATGGACTCCACAGGGGGGAATAAAATTTAAAAAGAAATAACTTAAAACATCAAGATAGCACCATTATCAGAAACTTACAGCTCATAGGTGGGCCACCTCTAAAAGATCTTGTTGGAGATTGAGGAGCACGTGGTGGAGTTCTGAGATTCGCAAATCTTGATGAGAATGGGTTACCCTAGAGGAGTTCCATTGCAAGCACAAAATTCAGCCCGCAAAACAATAGTTAAGATAGAATTGCAAGATCAAGAATGAGCTCAAACTTCAAGAAGCAAGAAAATACAGACATACATTTCGATCACCATTCGCCCGCGAGCCACCAATCAACACACAAGATTGAGTTTTGGCACAAATATAACCAGCATGCTCAAGGTGATGGCGATCATAAATAAAAACAATTCCTCTGAAGATGTGTTCTACAGGACCTTGTTTTCCCTACAAGTAACAGGAATGGTTATGATGAAAACAAACACCATGTGTGATCAATGTTAGTAACAAGAAAATCTTTTGAAACGCCAATTACTCACTTTGCAAGGACCCTCAAGAACTTTTACCACGTCTTTCACCGCTAACTGGTTCTTAAACCGATCTTGGGCATTCCCTTTCTTCTCAATTTTCCCTTTGATCTCTCTAAGTCTAACAAGTGCTACCTCAGGTCTATCAGGTACACCCTTAAGGACCTATAATATCACTCAAATGTGAGCAACACAATTAACAGAATAATCCAACCTCAAAACTATAGTATTCACCTGGAAGGCTTCACTGTCTACACGTATAATCACGCCAAAACTCTTATTGCTGCACAAAAAGTAATCAATTTAGAAAATTAGTTATTGGTTCGAAAAGGACTAAACTGTTTAATGTTACTCTTATAACAAAAAAGTGCTTACTCTAGTATTACAAGGTCATGGAGCTCATACTCCCCAATACGAGTGAGACCAGATGTTACTTCAGAGCTCTCAACAACATTATCAGCAAATACACGGAGCTGCAGATATAAAAAAGCATATGGCATATATCAGCATTATTCTGAAGGACTTCAGATTAGAGACTCAAATTACCAGACTTCCTCAACTTACAAGCTCCTTGGTTGTATCGGATACCAAGTTTACCACATGCCCCTCAACAGAAACAACCATACCGGTTGCACCTTCAGATGAACCAGATATTACTTTCACGTGATTTCCGGGCTCAAAGTACTTGCAGAGCTCTTTCTCACCAACAGCCAGAGTATCCTGCCAAAGTCAGGGAAACACGTTGATGAAAAATATAGTACTCACTCCTTCTGAGACACTTGATGAATGAATGACACATATTTAACACGTATTTAAAGAAGGGGGAATACTATCCACCTGAAGATCTTTCACACTTGGTCTGATATGAACAGTATTTTCCTCAACTTTCTCAACACATCCTTTCAAGTTCTTGAGATCCCCCTTCACCACAATAACGCGGTCACCCTTCATAAAATGACCTTTCTTTCGGTTGGCAAACAAAGTAGATAGACTAGCCATATCACCATCCCCACCCTCACCAGGTTGGCGAAACTTCTCAAGTTCATCAAAACTTGGCTGTACGTTCATGGTGCTGATTGATTTCATTGCTACTGTCTTATATAAGAAACCATCTTTGAACAGCATACCTCCAATATTCTCAAAATAGTCACCTGACTGGTGTCGCTTACGCTCTACACGTATATTCATTTCTCTGCAGCCAATGAGAAACAAATTTAACAATTCTATAAAGACCATGGGTTGTGCTCTTGCTGAAACAAGACGCCAAGGAACAATTACCTAGCTTCATCAATATTCATAAAGCGTGGCGGAGGAATAAATGCCTTTTTCTTTTGAACTTCCCTTCCTTCCTACAAAAACAGTGTCAACAAAAGCAAGGCAGCATATCAACTGGCTCTTAGGACATCAATATTTCTTTTGAACAGGTAAGCAAAATTTTTAGTAATGCTCTACAAAAGGTGTATAAGTCGGCTAGGTACTAACGATCCTTATAATGAGATTAGGAAGTCAAAAAGTTCTTACAACATTGACATTTAACAATCATGTATCTCAAGAATACTGAACCTATTAGTCTCTCCAGCCAAATAAAGGCCTAGTAAATGTCAAAATACAAGAATCCATCAAGTAAACATACCAACTTGTTAGAGAGAGCCTGTAAGTCAATCCGTGGAATTAATTTTACAGTGACCCTCTGTGTGTCATAATATACATCCACAACCTACAAAGCAGAATCATGGAATGTCAGATGAGACGTCAAATTTACTCATTGAAACACATAATGTAGAGTACTGGACAACCTTCGCAAGGTCTCCCTTGTAAGTTCCCGTCTTCATTCTGACCCAAGTATCCCTCGTAAGATCAACCGCTTTGCTTTCAACGGAAAGGACATCAGTCATCTCTTTGATAGGAACTAGTGTTACTTTTTGGGCATATATACTGCGCATACCCTTGCAAGCCTGTAGCAGCCAGCGTACAAATAATCGGTTATTGTTACTCGACAGACGCATTACTTTGTATGGAACATTAATGCTCTAATTTGAGTCATAACGATGCATAATGTATCCTCTTATAATGTACCTCCCTCACGTGGGCTTCTTTGTCTGCTTCTATGTATATATAGCCCTGAAGATGATCAAGGGCTACAACTGATCTAATTTGCAATTCTGATCCTCTATCAATCGCCTTTTGCATTAGGCAAACAGCGACCTCCCTCTCATGACCAATCTACAAAATACGATGTAGAAATAAATAAGAAGATTAAATGTTTCAGGTTAAAAACAAAAAACAAAAAGATAAAATGCTGAACGCTAAGGCAGCCTGCCAATATCTTACCCCACATTTCACTATCCACAACTTAGGATCCCTGACAGATGGCAAGAGAGCTTGCTGCTCAACTTCTGTTGCTTCCTCATCATACTCCACATGAGCTGACCTCGCATATCTTTGCTGAATGCTTCTCGTAAGCTCCTCAAGGTCTTCTTCTTGGTCATCATGTGGCAACATCCGGTGACGATATTCACGTCTGGCACCATCCTCATCAGGTATCTCCGCTCCACCATCTACTATGAAATCTGCAAACCGAAAAATCTAACAATCAACACCAACCAAAAAAAGCCATGCAGGGAGAGATACAGAAGAATAGAAAAGCTCAAACCTATTAACATTAATTAACAACAAAGTGTCTGATAGGTTCATTCAAGTTAGACAAAAATTCACGCCCCACTAGCTTGGAACTCATAAATTGGAAAACAAAATTCAGCAACCACAAAGTGGACTGCACATAAACTATATGGAGTATTTCCTACTGAAGATTTCCCTGAGCTGATGCCACTGTCTACAAAAGTTAAACAAAAGAGGATGTGTCTCAAATAATTTCCTTTTCAGCCAATGGTGTCAAATATAACCAAACCATTTGGCTGCTGCCCAATGCTTACGCTGTTGTGTCAAATAATACCCCTTAAGCTGATGGCACTGTGTTGTCAGTGAAGGCAGAGAGGATCTGTGTCAAACAATTTCCTTTCAGCCAATGGTAAATATAACCAAACCATATGATCCCAGACTCGGTCAATCCCAAGTACCTTAAGTTCGTGAGGAACATTTCAGCAAAAAATTCTCTTTAACCACGACCTAGACATGTTTTAACGGCCAAGCAATCCGGGACAACTGTCTCAAACTATTAGCAAAAGTAAGTCACCACGCTCATGGCGCAACCCCTTTTAGAGGTTCTCCTACATCAAGGTTGAGGTTCCCAAAGTTTCGTACGTTCACCTCAAGAAAGAAACTATCCAACCTCTACAATAAATCACCTCATCAAAATCCAGTTCAGACACTATATATAAACCAATTTTCAATGTTTACCATTCCCAACATACGCTTTTTCTTTCTTTTCCAATGGTTGTGACAATATCTAGCTTATGCCAACAATAATATTAAAACAAATAGCTAAAACCATCGCACCACCATTCAATAGGTTCTAGAAGATAATAATCTGACAATTGTGCATGAATTCTAGGAAAAAGAGCCTCAGACGAACATTTGTTAATAATGTCGAATTAAAAAAGGCAATCTGGGGCACTACGCACCCTTTATGTCCGGGTCTGGGGGAGGACCGGACCACATTGGGTCTTATTGTACGCGGTCTCACCTTGCATTTCTGCATGAGGTTGTTCCCACAGCTTGAACCCAGTGACCTCCGAGTCACACGACAACTTTTACCATTGCGCCAACGCACTACTATATTATATCTTCAGGAGACATGATCTATTTGAAACTCTCATATTGGTAGTGTGAAAAGCTCATCTTCAATAAAATGAGATTTTGCACATTAAACATGTTACATTTATGTGCAAGAAAGCAATATGGCTTGTTTGTGAGTTGATTATATTTCTGGAAGCAAACGTCCACATTCATATTTTCAACGTTTAATTTCCATATCCGACAGATTCCATGAGAAATTCTTTTGAAAATTTTGGGGGTACTCAAATATTTAAGTTATCACGAATACACTCAACTCTATTCTTGGTAAAGTGTCCAAAGGTTTCTCTCTTTTTCCTTTTTTTTTTTGACATAATGGTAGATATTCTCTGTCTGTCTCCCTTTTAATCCCTGTGTATCTGTATCATTACGCATTCAAATGCTTGGACTCATTGGTCTATTGTATCTTGCTCTTCCAAAGGTACGACAGGGAAGAAGAGAAAAGTTCGAACCACGTTTTTTTCATCCGAAGCAATAGGAAGGTAAATGAAACTTCTCAACAGACATCTGGTTTGCTTGGAAAAAAGCAGTACAACACGTATTGATAGGATTAGAGAAAAACAGTAAACTACCAATAAAATAGACCCAAGTGCATAGTACAAGTCACCTAACTTTCTGTACAATTTGGAAATGCATTGTTCGTCCTTCTTGAACATTTATATATAGTTATTAGTACGAGGTAGGACGAACACAGCCCTGAGTTGTTGTACTTAATTCCCTGTGTATCAGTATCATTACGCATTCAAATGCTTGGACTCATTGGTCTATTGTATCTTGCTCTTCCAAAGGTACAGTATGGATATGTGCTTTGTAGCTTTTAACCATGTGATGGTGGTTAATGTTAGTTTTCAACTGCCAAAGACGAAACCGATTAGCTGCAAATTTATCACATGTAAGCAAATTAAGCATTCTTCCCTCTTCTTTCTAGATTGTACATAATATGTCAAAATATTGACATGATAGTGTTTTAAACTCATTGTGACCTTTGTGAGAGTGTATTTAGCCATTTAGCCAAACTTATAATTATGTAAATTGAGTCACCAATACTACAGCTTCGACGATCCCACAATTTCGTGCGACCTAATCTATTGCCACGATCTGCTATTTCGTATCACTTTGGGGCGCTAATGTTGCTCATTCAATCAGATCACGGGATTGCTCTATATCCTGATTTAGCAATCATTTTATCTCATAAAATGCAAACAAAAAGTTGTCTCATTAGCTTCCTCTGTGACCAGAGAGAGGATGGTATCAGGGATCTCACCTTCAAGCAGTGAACAACCTTTTTAGGGACAAGTTCATTTTCCAGTTACTCAATATCGAATGGTGTGAAGCAACTTCACCATCCAATTGATTCCCTAAAATCTGATTACAGAAGGCAAACTAGGACAGGTTGATCGATCCAGGCAACCATACATGAATTTTACCGCCAGAGGTTAGCTCAATTGGCAAAGGTTGAGGACTTGTATCTTTGGTCACAGGTTCGAGCCTTGCAACTAGCAATCAACTGTGGTGTATAAGTGGAGAAGGGTAGAGGGGCAAGCCCATCATCCTCGAGTTTCGGAGGCTTCAGTTGGCCCAAAAGGGTCGGCTCTAGATGAATTTCTCGGTCATCAAAGAACAAATCATTACATGGATTCCCTAAAATCTGATTACAGAAGGCAAACTAGGACAGGTTGAACGATCCAGGCAACCATACATGAATTCTACCACCAGAGGTTAGCTCAATTGGCAAAGGTTGAGGACTTGTATCTTTGGTCATAGATTCGAGCCTTGCAACTAGCAAATCAACTCTGGTGTATAAGTGGAGAAGGGTAGAGGGGCAAGCCCATCATCCTCGAGTTTCGGAGGCTTCAGTTGGCCCAAAAGGGTCGGCTCTAGATGAATTTCTCGGTCATCAAAGAACAAATCATTACATGGATTCTAAGAGAAAGACATATCTGTGATTTCAGCTAATTATGCACTGCTAATTGAAATATTATCGACATACTCTTTCTTGATAGTTAAATTATAATACTGGTCTATGGTCTAAGGGGATGATACATGTATATACCCATGTAATATAGACACCAAAAAATGGTGTTCAAGTAAACCCAAATAAACACCCACATAAAACCTCCTTGTGATGCCTTCTACTGAATCACTTACTTTATCAAAAATACACCAACATAAAATCTGCACACAAACACCTAAGTGGTATTTGAACAGACCAAAAGACCAAACAAAAACAAAAGACAGTCCTTCATACCCCCTTACAGAACTTAATTAGCCTTTTCACAATCAGTTGCAATGTTCTCTTTCTCCTTACCACATTAATTTGGACTGGTCTCACTTCATATGGCGCTTATTAAAATGTGTTTTCAATTCTCGAGCCAGTGTCCTTTACTTCATGCCCCTGATATTTTAGTAACATTCTTTTCCGGGACCCCGGTAATTATGGCTTTTTCCCTTTTTGCTGACAATTATGCATGCATTTTGTTTTTTCTCTTGGACCTACTAAGCTTCAGATAAATCTACTCAGGGTACCCAATCTCAAAGCTCCATGGTCTTATCTTAAACTCGGCTTTCCCAAATAACCATAATCATAAATTCATAATAATAAGAGGCTAAGAGTAACGGTTTGATCTTCAATGTTGTCTTGTGAATTTTTGCAGATTCTTAGGTGCTTTATATAGCTTTACCTTAGCGGTCAGTCTTGGAAATGTCAAATATAAAATCCGGTGCTGCTTTTTTCTTTACTGTTTCCTCTTCTTTCAGTTTATTCTGCTCAAATTGGGACCTAATTTATCTCCAACACTTTATTCCTCTTTGTGAAACATGTGTTACTTCATTTGCACTCTTATTCAACCTTTACCTTGTCTTGAGGGTTATTTAGTTTTTGCTACCAAATTTATAGGCAAAAAACCTCAATGATAAATCTAATGTGGTTTTTTCCTAATTTATCTAGAGTTGTTGTTTCCTCTTTGTGAAGCATGTGTTACTTCTTGCATACTCTTATTCAAACTTTGTACCTTGTCTTGAGGGGTCTATTTATTTCTTGCTACCAAATTTATAGGGAAGACACCTCAATGATAAATCTAATGTAATTTTTTTCCTAATTTATCTAAAGTAGTTTCCTCTTTGTGAAACATGTGCTACTTCTTGCCGACTCTTACAATCCGCTTGTCCATAAGAAATTTTTCCTTTTTTCCCGAACTCATCTTCAAATTATTGTTTGGTTATAAATTGGACTGAATTTTTGAAGATGAGTTTCAGAAATTTTTGAAGATGAATTTCAAGTTTAAAAAGTGGTAAAGTAAACAATGTAGTTCCTCACAAAAGTACAACATTTTCCCAAGTCAGATACATGTCCAAACACAATATCAAATTTCAAAAGCACTTCCTCAACTTAACTACAAAAATTACTTTTTTCAAATTTTACATTTTTCTATGTCCAAAAGCCCTACTTATTCAACCTATGTACCTTGTCTTTAGCGGTTATTTATTTTTTGCTAACAAATTTATAGGTAAAACACCTCAATGATAAATCTATGTATCCTTCTCTATTTCCTGTTTTCTGTGCTTCAGCATCCATCCTTGTTCTACAGTCAATAGACAAGGACTGTGCCACAAAATCCTTGTACTAACTACAGAAAAGCTGAATTTTCTTTCTCAGGTTATAGTTGCAGTCACATAATAGTTATGGATACCTTCTCCTTAATTCCTTACCACACGCTTGCACCATATTCCACTAGTCCCAATCCTCCTATACATCAGTAATAACAACTACGCCTCAGTCCAAGCAGGTAGGGGTCGGCGATATGAATCCCCGTTCCTTTCATTTAGCTCAACTCATCATCATTACCAAAATAAATAAAAATACAAGTAACCAATATATATATATATATATATATATATATATATATATATATATACATGGTAATAATAATAGAAGTTCTCTATCCGGTCTAAAACATACTCCCAACTAGTAGGTATCACCTATACGGATTTTTCTCTTCCATTATGCCTATCTTTAGCTAAGTCTATATTGATTCCAAGGATTTGTAGATCTTTCGAGATAACTTCCTTCCATGTGATTTTAGGTCTACCCATCCCTTTTCACGCATTCCCCCACCATGGTTTCACACCTACATACTGGTGCATCTGTAGGTCGACGCCGGACATGACCAAACCATCTCAAGCGGCCTTCTCTCATTTTATTCTCAATATGTGCTACTTGCACCTTCTAGCGAATGTGGTCATTTTATATCTTATCTTATCTTGTGTGACCGCACATCTATCTTAGCATTCGCATTTCCGCAACACTCATCTTGTGGATATGTTGAACTTTAGCCGCCTAACATTCACTACCATATAACATAATTGGTCTATAGTTGTTCTACATAACTTAACTTTCACCTTGGTAGGCATCGTTCTATCACATCACACCCTGGTAACACTTCTTCATTTCAACCATCCAGTTTTAATCCTAAAGTAACATCTTCATCAATCATTCCATTCTATTGAAATAATGAGTCTAGATATCTAAACTGTTTGCATTTTGGCACTGCAATTCCATCTAGTATCACCTTAACTTCGCTCTTCTCATGCTAACTAAACTTGCAATACATGTAACCAGTCTTACCTTTACTTATCTTAAAACCTTACTCTCTAAGGTGCTTCTCGATAACTCAAGCTTTCGATTAACACCCTCGCTAGTTTCGTCAATTAGCACAATATTATCAACAAATAGCATACACCATGAGACCTCATCTTGTATTTTGTCGGTTAGCTCATTATATACATCAATGCTTGAACAAAGATACAAGCCCAAAATTTCTATATTACAGCACCAGTCCTAGGCAAGTGAAACCTCTTCAACTTGCCATACACCAACTCTTGCCACATCTAACTTTCCTTAAAAAAAACATCATCAACTCTCTCTATTACCACATCAACTATAGGTTATACTACATACTTTTCCTCACGCCTATGATTATTCGTCACATATACTCGCCTATGGTATATACAAGCGCTCCACGTTTTCATATCACCAAAACAATATATACTATCATTAAGGTGGTGGCTTTTGTATGCAGTTATCCCCTTTTTTCTTTTAATAAAATTATTAACCTTATCAAAAAAGAAAATGAGGTGGCGTTTTGTAGTCTGTATTGAAGAGGCTGAAGCTCTGTGAAATCAAGAATGAAATTTGAACTTTGAACTTAGAGAAATTTTGTTTTTTCAACTTGAAGTTGTGTCATAAGTTTCTCAAATCATCTTCTTCCACCGAAAAAACTATAACAATCCAAACACAACTTTAACTTCCACAAACTTTTTTCGGTTTCAGTTTCAAATGATATTTTCCAACTTAAACTTCAAATAAATGTTCAAAGGAACCCTAAATATCAAAGCAGAGCTCTCTCTACCTATCCTCCCAATCCTACTTCATCTGCTCATCCACAAATTTCAACAAAACATTATTTTCAATACATATTTATGATGAACTCTTCATTCTTCGATGCAGGCAAATTAGTAAATGAACAGAATAAAACAAATTAACGACCAAAATAAAACTGTAGATAGTAAGTCTAACCGTCTTCGCCTTCTTCCTCCTCCTCGTCCTCATCACTATCTACAGCAGCTTCGAGATCGAAAAATTCTGAACCAGTCCTCCTTTTAGGGCGTCGTCTACCGCCGCCGCCGCCGCCATAATCCTCATCATCGTCGTCTTCTTCTTCATCATCATCTTCCTCCGCCACGTCATCAATAAAATCTGATCTACGCCGTTTGCGTCCAGACTTTCCTCTATGATCATCTTCTTCTTCCTCCTCTTCGTCCTCCTCTTCGTACACGTCTTCCTCTTCCTCCTCCGGTTCCACGTCGTCATCGTCGTAGTCCCGTTGCCGCGGCATAGTGTGAATTCCGCCGAATTTGGAGAGTTTTGTGGAGTTATAGGGAGGTTTCGATAATTCTTTGTAGGTGTAGGTGTAGAGTATGGAGGGGTTCTCTGGATGTATAGGGTAATGGAACCCTAGGTGAGAGAAGAGAAGATTTGAGAGTGAAAAGGGAAAATGGTGAGTGGCGGTGAGAGAGACAGTGCGTTTGGGCCTCTGAGTCTATTGGGCTCTATGTTTCTTTTCTCACAATTGGGCTCAATGTTGATAGCTAGCGACTCTTTGGGCGAAGTGCACAAATAGGAGAAAGGAATTTTTACATTCCTATGCCATATTGGAAACTATATTACCCTCAATGTTTAAGGTTTTTACATTTAGTATACATAATTACCAATTCTATACCATAAGATGTTTTAACTGTACATTAATTGTACCTTATATCACTCCTTAAGTTATGGTACCGTATATTACTCCATATCCCCCCCAC